AAATAAATAAATAAATAAATAAATAAATAAATAAATAAATAAATAAATAAAATAGAATAAATATTTCCACCTGCTGCTGACAATTGTCCCACAACCTGGTATTAATGGGGGGGGGACCCTTAAGCCATCATTATTGTTAGCGGTTTTATTTATAATGCTACTACTATAGGCTCTGATTTGTACTGGGAGGTTAAACAAGCTCTTCTGGTAGATTGGTTTTATTTCTGTTTTTTTGTGCTGTAATTATAAAAGATTATTTTTGGCCTTAAATTTTTGTTACATCAATTATTCATTCAATTTTACTGTTTTGGTTTTCACTCTTTGTATGCTGCCAGATTCATTGATATGAAATGGGCAACCATATACATTTACATTAGTAAATGTGCATGCATTCAGGCTGGACTGGACTGGAGAGGGGAGTGGAGGAGTGGAGAAGAGAAAACAAGTGAAGACTTGTCTTTATTTGTCCAAGTGTAATTAGACACACAAGGAACTTGTCTCTGTTCTGTTTTCCTGCACTACGGTATTCTATGCTAATATATTGTTATATCTACTATCTACTAGCGATATGAGTCAATGCAGTGGGGAGTGAAGAGTAGATTTTTCTTCATTTGCAGAAAAGCAAATGAATTTAACTACTGTCTTCTATATAAAGATGTCACATTCACCACCACCATGAAGTTCTGACCTGCCTAGTCCTCAATATTACAATAATAAGAAAAGACCACCAGTCCCTATAAAAAATGTCCCAACACCTAACTGCATTGCCAATCTTACTAAATATTCTTTGTGTAATATACAATCATGAAATATAATTGTGTTTTTGTCCCTGACAAGCCAGATCTACCATATTGAGGAAGAGTAATAATCTCTCAAAGTATCCTCTTTTTTTGCACAAAAAAACCTCAAAATTCTGAAATTCGTTCCATATATTTCTCACAATACAACCCCCTCTTTATTACCAATTTCAGTATGTTCTATCCTAAAACAACAACAACAAAAAACTTTTTAAAAAAATCAAGATAATTTGGAAAATTTGCTCCCAAATTCCATGAAATTAGGCATTCTCACATTTCATACTGATTTCTCTCCATTTTATCACATTCTGATGAAAAGCATAAGCATAATGAATTTAAGGTCTCCTTTCCATTATTTTCATTTATTAGAATCCCACTCTCAAACTGGAGAACAGATTTGAACTTCTATAAACACACTCAATCATTCAGATCAATCAGCCAGACCTTGTCCCAAATGTGCTTTTTCAAGAGACAACTGGATTTTCTTGTTTTTTCTTTGAAGACATTTCACTTCTCATCCAAGAAGCTTCTTTAACTCTGACAGGTTGGCGCAGAATGGAATACGAATCTTTCCGTTCCCCGCCATCCAGTCAGAGCTGAAGAAGCTTCACATCACCCCCGGATACTGCAACCGGCATAAATAATAGGCAGTTGCCAAGTGTCTGAATTTTGATCACATGACCACGGAGATACCGCAACGGTCATAAGTATAAAAAGAACGGTCATAAGTCCCTTTTTGCAGTGCTGTCATATTTGAACAGTCACTAAATGAATTCTTGTCAGTCGAGGGCCCCCTGTATTTTCTGTCTGCGTAAAGAAAATATTCTTATGATTAGGACAACTAAATAAATCCTTTTAGAGGAGAAACTGAGGGTGCAGAGAAGCAGAGCTATTTTTCTCAACTGCTCCAGGTATCTATTCAGAACAAAGGTTACTGTGACCAATACAGTTTCGGTGCCTTGCTGAACTCCTGCAATAAGAAAGGCGAGGAAGAGAGGCTTGCATCCAGCCCATGAAATAAAATAGATATCATAGAATTGGAAGTAAATTGGTAGCTGGCTTGGGAGATAGACTAATAAGGACAGCAAAAGTACCAAAAGCATTTGGTCACAGCAGGTGTGAGGGTCAAAGCAGCCCTTCTGTAAATACGTAGCCGTGTATCTTCTTTGCCTGGGCTTCTTACAGTCACACAAAAAGGAAGGAGAGGGGCGATCCTTATCTAAATACCGTTCTTGAAAAAGGAAGGCATGCAGCTTTACATCCAGCTCAAGACTGGAGTCCAAATTGTGCTGTGAAACTAGAAGGCAAATAAATAAATAAATAGTATTCCCATTGGGGACTTTTTAATACATATTCTTCTCTCCAGCGGAGAGGGAGATTTAGACTCCAGTCATACTTAGGAGCAATCAAAAGCCTCCTCTGCTGCTGGCGATACAGGTAACCCTCGACTTTCGACCACAATTGAACCCAAAATGTATCTTGTTGAGGGAGACATTCGTTAAGTGAACTTTGCCCCAGTTTACAACCATCCTTTCCACAGCTGTTGAGTGATTCCCTAATGCAGGTGTTACATTAGAAACACGGTTGTTAAGGAATCTGATTTCCCCATCGACTTTGCTTGTCAGAAAGTTGCAAAAGGGGGAATCACTCCAGAACACTGCGACTGTCATAAATGTGAGTCATAAACCAAGCATCTGAATTTTGATCATGTGACCATGGGAGATGCCACGACAGGTGTTACGGGGTGAAAAACAGTCAAAAGTCACATTTTCAGTATCGTCGTGACTTTGAATAGTCATTAAATGAACTGTTGTACCTATATCTACCTATATTTCTTGTAAGCTTGGTCTTCCCCAAGCCTTGAATTAAAGCAATGCTAGGTGTTTTATTGTGTCTTGCAAGTTTCTAGTATATCTGAGATGCTCAAGAAGTCTTAGTATAGTCTTAATTAGATACTTAATGCTTAAAGCAAAAATGTACAGGAAATAATAATATTGTGTTCTGATTTCCAGCAACTAGATTCCAGAAATAAAATATCATGATCTTCACAACCAGGTGTTCTGAACAGGTTGCCTTTGACTTTTGACCAGTCCCTTAGCGACCATTTGACATTACAACAGACCTCCCAGAGTTACTTATGACTCAATTTCAAAGAGTTAGCAACTGTTCCATCTGCAGTCATTTCATCACATTTTGGTGCTTGACAGTTGGTCCACATTTACGACTGTTTGCATCGTCTTCTATCACATGACCATGATTTACAACTTTTCTCCTGGAAACCAGTCTTTATTTCCAGTCGAGTACAATGGGTTCACTTAATGACCTCTGTGTTCACTTAACTACCACCACAGAAAAGGTGTGATGGCCCATTTAAAGGCCAACAGTTTATGACATTAATTCCGGGCTCAGTTATAATAACCTGTATATATTTGCATATGTTCATTGGACCAACTTTTAAGTTAGAAGTCATACCAATTTTTTTGTAAGCCTCTTGTGGCATTTTGATAGCCACTGTCAGAAAAAGAATGCCTAATTGCTGAAATTTTGTAGTTCCTGGG